GGAGAGGTAATAAGATCAGTCCATGAATGAGTGATGGAATGCTAGATCTACCCTTGTTAATAATGCTGTTGAAGATTTTTTAAAAGTCTTTAGAGCCTAACTTCTGCGATAAGATGCGAGATTTAGTGAACTGAGAATAATGGAGTTTAGCATCAGAAAGCACCTTTTTACATTGATTTCTTGCAATAATAAATAGCCGTTTGTTTTCAAGAGAGTTGATCTTTTGAAAAAGATTAAAAAATGATTACGATTGGATATAGCAGCCGCACAAGAAGGAGAAAACCATGGAGTAGAATGAGGCTTGACTTGAAACCGACACGAAGGAATAAAAGCTTCCATTCCAGCCTGAATCCAGGAGGTTACGTAGGAGGCGCATTTGTCAGCTGAGAGAGAAAAAACATAAGCCCAACGACCATCACAAAGAAAATCATGAAAGGAATCTCAGTCAGCTTTAGGGTAGTAGTAGGTGGTGCGATGATAAGGTGAGCCCAAAAAAGAAGTACGAGAACAAAGATTTATAGAGATCATTGCATGGTCAGAACCACCTAAGGGAGAAAAGGGAGAAACTGAACATAAGCTAGGGTCAGAGACAAGACATAAGTCAAGGAGTGAAAGTAAATGATTAGGGTTGTCAGGAAAACGAGTCACAAAGTTAACTATCTGAGTAAGAGATTGAGAAACGCAGAAGTTAAAGGCTTTAGTGCCAGCAGGATCAGTGGTGTTAGAACCAAGCCATTCAGTGTGATGGGCATTAAAATCACCAACAACAACAATATTGGCAGAGGGGTAAAGAGAGAGGGCATGGTCAATTTGATCAGAGATAACATCTAAAAGAGTGCAATCATGGGAAGAAGGAGAACGATAAAGAACAAAGAGAAAGGTAATAGAGTGAAGAGGTGCTAGGCGAAAGCACATAAAAGAATGGTCAAAGGATTCGAACCTGATTTCACGGCAAATAGGGGAATTAATGCGTATGTATACCCCTAAACCTAGCATGTGACTATTGGAGTCTTTACGAATCAAAGGATAGTAGCCATCAACACTGACATCTGAAGAAGAAATTGCAGAATTTAAATTTGTTTCACTGAGTGCAAGCAAGTCTGGTGAATTTTGCAGGAGGTAAGATTAAACTGATGGAAAGTTGCTTCGTAGACCGCGAATATTTGTAAAAGATATATTAAAATATTTATGTGTTGGGGATGGTTTTTTCAGGTTTTAAATTTTTGGTTACTTTGGTCATGATTTGGGTTTAATGAGAACTTGACTCATTCATAGATAGAGCACAGCCTCCTTATCAATGAGCTATGCAGTTGTCTCAGTCCTGTTAATTAACCCTAAGCCGTGACATAGGGCTCCTTATGTGGCCTTGACAATGCACACCAAAAGCATTAACAGGGACACCATCCATGCACAACATGGCACTGTTAATACTCTGATATTTTGCAGATGTTGATGGAGTCAGCCTCTCTGAGAGCTACCACAGAGTTCGGGAAACCTTACTACCAGCCGGCCTCAGAACCATTAAACTGAGTTTTAGAGCTGTACCCTCATATGGAGATAAAAGGAAGAGTTGCATAGCCATTATCAAGGAGGCATAAGCAAAATTCTGTGAGTAGAGTCAAGGAGATCCAGCATTCATCATCCTAGGCGGGAAACAATGTAACGCAGGTTACATCTATGCCAGCCTAATAGATGAAGAAGGGGTTCGAGGCTGGTTAGCAGAATTTTTCTGCTTACCCCTTAAGTCTTTGCCTAGAAGGCCTTCTACAAGACAGTAGCTGGATGCAGTTAACATCTGCCCAAGATGAGTATTTTTATCGAGACACCATCTCTAGCCTTTACTCAACCAAGAGCCCCAAGGCAGGGGATGTTTAGCTGGATGCAGTTAACATCTGCCCAAGATGAGTGTTTTTATCGAGGCACCATCTTTAGCCTTTACTCAACCAAGAGCCCCAAGGCAGGGGAATTTTTAGTCGGAGTTTATTTCTCCTAGCCTTTGCATAAGAAGAGCTCACTCTGCAAGGCAGCAGGGCTTGTGGCAGGTGGTACTGGGTTACGTGATACCAGTAGCAAGATTGATCTCGATTATCCTGACCTGACCTGGAGTAGTTAAAAGGAGTTACTTCCCGCAACAGTACTTTGAGAAAACCAGGCATGACATTTTGGAAGTGCATTAGGAAAAACACTGCATCTAACAAAATACAGGAGTCTAAGGTGAGTGTAGGTTTTGTAGTTGGAGTAAGTAGTTAGTTACTGAGCACGCGCTGCATTAAAGTATAAACAGAACACAAACAAACATAAACATAAATCAACTTATGGGTGAGTCAATATGGTGAGTATGTTTGTGTTCTGTCTGAACCTCTGTGCCAGAGGTTCAGACAGAACACAAACATACATAAAAAAACATAAAAAACATAAACAAAAACATAAAGTACCTTGTAGGTGAACGAACACCGCGCCAGAGGTTCAAACAGAACACAGACATACACAGAGAACATAAAGTAACTTACGGGTGAGCGAACACCGCGCCAGAGGTTCAGACAGAACACAAACATACATATAACGTAGATTACAGGTGAGCTAATACAGTAACTAAGGCACCTCCAACTATGTGCAAAAAAAAAAAAAAAAAAAAAAAAAAAATTTACTATAGGCATGACTGATATAAAATAGTACTGATGACAGGAAGAACACTCCTTCCAGCCTTTGCTTAGAAAGCAAATCCTGCAAGGCAGCAGAACATGGAACAGGTTGCACTGGGTTACATGTTACCAGTAGCAGGATGATCATGAAGACCATACTCCTGACCTGACACTAAAACTTCCTACATAAAAATGTATTTTATGACCACGTTGTATTTCGTCAATACTTCGTTTTACTAAATTAACTTGTACAGTTTATGTTAATTATAGTTTATGCACATTTATATTATAGAACTTATGATATAATAAAAATTTATTTTATAATAACAAAGTGGCTCCATAATCTTCATAATATACTAATGTACTATTTACCTTGTACCATAAAATTGCATTATTTCTTACAATTTCTTATTGTTTATACAACTAAAAAATGCAGTATAAAACATAATATTCAAAAATTATATTAATAAACAAATAATTCCACCTGCCTTCAGAGGTACATCATTAAGAAGGAAGATTTAAAAAACAAACAAAATTTTGAAAGTTTTTTGATAGTTCCTCAAAATTCATCAAATCTATAGCAGAAAAAAAGAAAGTAATTTAAACAAAGGAAAAGTTCTTTCTTAAAACTGAATGCATGCAATTAGTTTAAAGTAAGACACATAAATTCGATAATTTTCTGTTAGGTTAGTATTACCTTTCTATACACTTTGTCGCTCATTTTGCCTTTATCGCAATCATTAAGATAAACACCAAAGAAAACAATATTTTGTATAACATAAACTAGATGTGTAAAAACAAAGATTTAAAAAAAACGTAAAAATTTCCAATTTTTGTTCGTTAAATATTTTTTTGATTGTTAAATTCATTTTTGTTTGTTAAATACATTTTTGTTTGTTAAATACATTTTTGTTTGTTAAATACATTTTTGATCAAAAAAATTTTAATATAACTCATGCCAATAACAGCTTTAAATTAAATACCAAAAAACATAAATAATACAATACATAAATTCAATTAACAACTGTATTTGTCATCATTGAATTTAAAATCACTGGAAAAATCAACTATATTTGATACTCATTTTTATCTTTTGATAAATATCCACTTTATAAAGAGATAGCTGTTTTCAATAATTTTTATTTATTTCACAATAACAAAAGATCTTCAGTTAACAGTTTAATTAAAGAACTTTACAAAAAATTAGGGCAAACTGTACAAGTAATATAGTATTAGAGATAACCTATTAGCTCATACAGTATATGTAATTGTAGAGTACAGTTTGCACTGATTTGTTGATATATGTCATAATGCTTTAGTAGAGCGCTATATGTCGTTCTGCTAATAGATTTTGTTCTGCTAATTGGTTTTGTTTGTGACTATTATCTATTTTTACATTTATTATGTAATAACAGATATATGGCAGATATAGTTTGCACTATATAGTGCGGTCGTCCCGCAATGGTTAGAGCGCTTGCTTAGTAAGCAGGAGATCCAGGTTCGAAATGAGCTTTAGACATATTTCGCGTCATGGTAAGGAAGGAGGCGTGAACTTCCTGGTTAAATGCACTTCCGCGTTGCTCTGTGACAAGACCATTAGGACTGCTTAGGGCACCTAAATAACAAATAAAAAAATAACTAATGTGTTGCAAATATAATTAAATGATAATATCATTTAATAATCAAGTATTTGTAGTATTTGTAGTATATGTAGTAAGTATAGTATTTGGTTTGTGTGATGGTGCTTTATAATATTACAATACTAATAGTATAATAAATAATATAATATTTTCTTAATGAAAACATCATTGATGTATTAAGCAGAACGATAACTCTTCTAAAGAAATATCAGTCTGATAAAGGATTTCACATACATCACAAAAGCTACATGACTAATTCTAAAGAAATATCAGTCTGATAAAGCATTTCACATACATCAAAAAAGCTACATGACTAATTCTTCATATCGCTTTTCCTGTATACCTGAATATTCCTGACAGAATATAGATACAGAATATAAGTTTGTATTAAAACAAGATAAAGATTTTAAAAAAAAGTTACATAAATTAAATAAAAAATTTTCTTTAAACTTCTTTTTAATTTAATTTTGATTTAGTGTACGCATGTGCTATGCATGCCTAATTTTTATTTTACTGTTATATGTGTACATAAATTAAACAGTGGAATGTAATATGTGATCAATACTATGGCTGTTTACAATACTAGATGTACCGGCTGGGTAGTGGAAAATCTAAAAAAAAAAAACATTATTGTGCGCTATTTAAATTCCATTAAATGTCCCATTTTAAGTGGTTTTACAAAACTATTTTTTCTTATTATTTAAAAACATTTTTTTAGATGATTATCCAGCTAATCCACTGATGCCGTTTTCTGCGCAATATTTGCTAAGTATTTATAAGTTTTAAACGTTATTATAGTTTTTATATAAAGAGTTGTCATATGAGGTTTTTATAAGAGAAGTTTGATTTTGTTATGCTGGATTTTAATAAATTTTTTATATGTAGGTATAGCAAAATTACAGAAGAATGAAGTTTTTCTGTATTTATTTTTCTTAAACGCGTTCAAGTTAAAACTATTAATTTTTTTCCCTGTAGATTATTTTATAATAGTTGTAATAATATAAATTTAAAACGTAATTGTAGTTTTAATTGTGTTTTTATACTGTCCCCAAATGATCATGAAAAGTGTACTGTAGCATATTGGTTAAGTTATCATGGTATTTTTGCCGGGCATCACATCATAAATCATTGATATTTTGATATCTAAAACTTTTCTTGAATATTTGTTTAGATGTTTTAAAACAACAATATCTATTAAAGAAAAAATATATATATATATGAGAATATTTGAAAACTAATGAAAATATGTATATGACAATAGGTTCTCAGCCAAACTTTTTAAATATTGGTTAGTTAAATACAGTAGTTACAATTAATTAACATATACTTTCACTGTTGCATAAAAATTGCACAAAACTACCTTGAGCTGATCCGAGAAAACTTTTTTGATAGGCAGTCTGCTCTGATAAGAAAGAACACAGTATCCACAAAATATTCATCTTCTTCAATTTGCAATATACCTTATGTTCTTATGCAAACCATACGAACTTTTTAAATTTTTCGGTTGTTTATATTAATGAGTTTTAATATTATAATAAATAAAAATTTTATTTTTTGGTTTAATTAGCTAAAAAATGCAGCTAAATATGAATGTGGTAGATTTCCTTCCAACAAGACTCAAACAATTACTACATCTTTACCCGCCTTAAAATGACATAAGGGTCCCTTAAGGGGTAAGGGTAAATTAAGGGCAAATTTTTTTCGACTTTTTTTTTTTGCTTATCTTACTTTTTTAATAAAGTTTAATTTATATTAATCAATTTTAAACATTAAAGTTTGTTTATGGCAAATTCTAATAAGGAATTGGTAAGGGCAAAATCAGGGCCCTTAGTCGACTTAAATTTTACTAAATCTTAAAAACTCAGAAGGAAAACATTTTACGGAATGATTTTTTTAAATGCGCTGTTGTCAAAATTAATAAATTGTCAAAAAGCTTTAATTTATTGATAAAAAAAAAAAATTAATAAAAATGATGTTATTTATCGATCGTAGCATGGTTATTGTTCATCCTTATCCTTCCATTTAAAATGGTATAGGTATCTATACTCTGACTAATATGATTGTAACTGGTGTAAAGATTGTAAATAAATGTGTTTGTTTTAAAAAAGGTAATGACTGTGTAATGAGTTAATCATTTTAATGTAATGATAATTTTGTTTTTATGTCATAATAGATTTAATGTTGTATGTATATAAATATAATGATACTTAAACAATTTGAATTGTGTTTAACAAAGTATGTTAAAGAACCAGTATTGTTTTAAAATTTTGCACTAAAATTAGATATAACTAATATATTACTACAATAAATATTTTAAACATTTTAGGACAAAAAAGCATATCTAAAATGTCTTTTTCTTTCAACATTTTTTTTTATTGTATCTTCAAAATTAGTTAGTAATAATTTTGAACTGTTACTGATTTTACATAATTTAGTAATAATTTAAATATGTGATGGAGTCTTAATTTGTTTTAATTTATTGTTTATCTGATAAATCAATATCAATTGTTCATGCTGATGATGTTGTTGGATGGAATTTTGAAGAATTCAAAAAAATAAAAATTTGTAAAAGAGTTGAATTAATGGTGATAAACAACAATAGTATAATAAAGGTAAATTTGAATCACCATAATTTGGTAGTATTGTTTAATAATTACAATACAAACCTTTATTTTGTGAATATATATATATATATATATATATATATATATATATATATATATATATATATATATATATATATATATATATATATATGATTAGGTTTTAGTTTTGCAATGTGCGACAAGTTATGATGCCCTGAAAGAAACTTTAAAGTTTGTTTATGAAATGAAAATGAACAAACAATTAATAAAATTTTATACAAACTTTAACCTGGTCCGTGGTCTAAATAGACAACGAGGGCTTGCAGTTTATGTGCATATAAAATGCAAAACTATGTTTATAGATATGTTTATATCTTTTTATGTTTAGTTTTATATTCACCCACTTTGCACAGCTTCTGAAGACTCAAATTTTGATACCGATTTTTGCTCTAAGTCAATGATAATGTTTTATTTATTACAACAGTTTAGACAATTTGTTTAGTAATTTTTTATCCATAATATATTTTGATATTTTAGGCTCAGCATACCCAGGATACTGTTGTTAAATCAGCTTTAAAGCCCCTGCCACTGCTAAAAACTTTATGTTAAGTAATTATGCCAATGTTATTTAAATGATTTTTTTAATTAATGTATCAAGTTTCACTTTTTTACAAATATCCAAACATCATCAAGTGTATGTAATGTAATTTTATAAACAGATAATTCTGCTATAATATTTCAAATGATAAGTTTTTGATATTTGATAATTATTACAGCTTTTTATCGTTTTAGTGTTGCTCTCCAATAGTTGTCAAATAAAATAAATTATCTTTTCTTTTTCTAAACCTTAAAGGTAAAATAAATATACTTAATATTGCTTTATTCTAGTTTTATTGCATCAGAACATAACTTATTTTAAAATTGCTGTTTATGATATTTTGAGATTTTTTTTTATGTTATTGATACATATTTTTTAAAGATTTCTAGTTTGCAATTACCTGCATCTATCCAGGCAACTGCAATTTTTTAAAAATTGTAATATACTTCTATATCTTTCACATAAAAAGTTTGATTATGTTAATATCTTTTTAATTTCAAAGCATTTCAAGCGTTCCTCAGACAGATAATCAGTCAAAAAAGATCAACAGGCCTGGAACACATGGCAAAAGTTTTTTAATCACCTGGAAAATCTGCTTAAAAATGAGTGAAATTTAGAGCTACTTTGAAAAATTCGGATATAAAAAATATATTAATATTAAATTTTAAATAGCAGTCTTGTGAGTATCCCATTTGACTTGTAATCACTGAAACAATAAAATGAAGTAACGAAAGTTGTTAATCTATTGTTATTAACAATTTACTTATATGTATATGTATATTTATAATGTCGGTGTGATTATATGTAGTCTCTTAAATAAAAAGTAATTATGATAATCACTTATAATTAATACTGAATTTAACGGTGCTGCTGCTGCTCATTCGTGCATGTTTACACAAACTTTTTTACCATTTATTATAAATACGATTTAGCATGCTCCTTCTTTTTATACTTTTGAACTCAAGCAATGTGGTACTCTCAAATCTTAATAACCTGTCAATATCTGCTTTATCTGTAATAAGATCAAAAACTTTACATCACCAGCTTAATTAGTGGAAAGATTGACAATTTTTGTTTGATAACTTCTTTAGTAAAGGATGAATCTTATGTTATTTTTAAATTAGTAAAGTAACTTTTAAAGTCAGGTAATTTATTTAATTCATGCATTATAATAATAACACAATTCAAGCCCTTTGTCAATTGTATTTAAAAAATACTAATCTATAATTTTTGATTTAGAAGACGATAAAGACTCTAGGAGACGTTGTTCTTATCAAAGGTAAAACTCTTGATAAAGATAGTGTTTATCTCTAAAACCCTTGCATCTCACAGGGTTAACTCTATATTACATGTTAAATAACAAAATTGTTTAATACCTTATTTTAAAGAAGTTAAAAAAAAATCTGTTTGCTTTTATATATGAAAGCCAGATCGTTTTTTTTTTTGCAAAATATAGTTAAACATTTATTACAAGGTATCTCATTTAACAAATATTACAAAAATAAGGTTGTATTTAAGTTTTTAAACTATATATTTTTCTTTGTTTATATATTTATTTATATTTGTGTGATGTTTATATGTGTTAAGGTTATATGGGTTTATATTTTATAAGTGTGTAAATATCTTTTATATATGATTGTGTATGTTTGTGATATAATGATATTTTTGTTTATAGTTTGTAAGTGGTTATTATGTTGTTTGCATGGTTTTAAATTGTTGTGACTTGGTTAGTTTACAGCAAGAGTGTTAACCTTGCTAGCCAAGTGGTGTACTTTGCTATAATGTGATTTGGCTTTGTTGGGAGCAAGATTGTTGTCCATGCCAGTTAAATGGTGTACTGTCATGATGAAAAACATAAATTAAATCTGATTGTAGTCAGTGTATTCATAAAATGTATTAAAAAAATATTGTTGAAAGAATATGTTTATAAGAAATGTTAAAAAGGTATATAGTTTTTTAATATCTGTAATTTTTTTAATATTTATAATTTTAAGTAAATTTTATTGAACAAACTTATATTTCATTAAATATTTTTTATATTGTTATTTTTGAGTAAATTTGTTTAAAAGATATATACTCCTTTTCACTTATAGCTCCTCCCCATTTAAAAATTTAAGAGTCTTTATTTTCTTCAATAAATATGTTTAACTTAAATTTATTGTTTGTTTTTTTATAAAGGTATGTATACAAAGTGTTACAAAAGTTTTAGTAACTTTCATTAAATTTTTAGGATTTTTGGTATAGAGAATTTTTTCTCCATAATAATATTTTAATTTTTTTTATATTGACCTATTTTCTTTGAATATTAGATATATAAAAATATAAAAAAATTAAAACAGTTTAAGAAGTTCCAATATTTTCAAGTTTCTTCACTTAAAGCAAATATATGATTGTTTATAGATGTTTTCTATTATTAGTTGTGTATTTACTTATTAATTACAAATCTTACATTAAATGCATTTCAAAGTAATGAGTAAGGGTTTTTTTTGACGAAGGATTACATTTCACCATTAAATGCTAGCAGTATTTGCTGAGCAGACAGCCCTTATAATTTTTTGAATTTGTTTTATTTATGAGTTCTTATCTGTAAAAATTTTGTTAAGTTTTAATAATTACTTTTTATTGCTTTTTAATAATAATTATACTAATAATTATCTAATAATATTTTTTCAATAATTATTAATAACTACATTAAATATATAACATTACTCAGTTTTTTTTTTTTTTTTTATAATTATTCACCTCCCCAAGGCCCGAGGATGCCACTACAGTCGAGGAGGCTACTCATTTTTTTTTTTTTTTTGTTGTGAATCGTGGTACAACCCTCTCTCAACTCTTTAACTCCGAAACACGAACCTTGACAAGCAAGACCGCTGCGCGGAGAAATTAAGTTGAGCGCGGTACTTCCAGGGACGTGGTGGGAGTCGAACTCCGAACCGCTCGCTTACAAAGCGAGCGCTCTTACCACTACACCACTACCGCAGTTATCACTTAATCAATTTCATATCAATTTATTTATAGCTTTAGTTTAAGTTCTTGATAGAAACATGTTATCTTTACACATTACTTTTGTATTTTAAAACATTAAATTTATATATGACTAATAGTAGAAGTAGAATATAATTAGATTTTATTATATTATTATATATTCTATTATATTTATATTATTATATATTATTATATATTATATATTATATTATCTATTATATATTATTATATATTATTATATATTCTGTTTTATTTGCTTTATTTAAGATAAGTTAAGAAAACTAAAAGTTCAATCTTGAAATAAAAGTGCAAATTTTATTATATTAGGCATTATTTTTACTCACTCCTTTGATGCTTAGTTATGTCTGCTAATTAAAGAAGTAAAATTATAAGGCTTCGTTGAAATTAAAGAAACCAGGCTAGGCAAAATAAATTTAACTGTCTCCAAAATGAAAGAGATGAGCTTAGGCTAGCTGAGGTAAATTGTTGTTGAAATAAAAGAGATAAGTCTAGGTGAGCAGAAATAAACTACCGTAGAAATAAAAGATATCAGGATAGGTGTTATAATTCCTTTTTATCTTTTGCTTCCTTCACAGTCAAAATACCTCATCCCACTAATATTTGCCCTTTCTGTTTTAGGGTTTATCGGCAAATTTTGTATCGTGTTAGGAAATTAAATCCTGAAAAAGGTTTTCTACCCACGTATTGTCAGTAAATATATATGAACCTAATGTAGCAGTTTCATTCAGAATCGAGCAACCTGGTAATGGTGGTTAATGCAAATGAGTTAATGCAACTCTTACAAACTTTAAATAATCAAGAAAACCCATTTGCTTCTGTATTTAAAAAAATGGCAGAAGTAGAGGAGAAATGATGATGGCACAACTAACTGGAGCATCGTGTTACTTTGTCCCAGTATTATAGTTATAGGTTTGCTGTTAGACAAACTTTTAGTCCTAAATACAAACTAATTAGTCTTATATAATTAATGTTTAATTCAATGCTGCTTACTCATTCGTGCGTGTTACTCATTCGTGCCATTTGTTACGCTTAATCATATAACATATCACTTTATATTTTTGACCACATGATAAGGTATTCTCAAATCTTTAATAACTTTATTATAATCTGTAATATCTGTTGGATCAGTTATAAGGTCTTAAATTTTATACTAGATAATTTGATGCAATCATAAATTCTGTGTCGTAAATGTTTATGGATTAATCTGCCAATAACTCTAGCATTCTCTAACAAGCTATATTTCTTATTCTCCTTTAAGGTTTGATTAATTTGGAGTTTACTGTAATATGTTATGTTATTTGTTAATTTTGTGATGTTATTTTTGTGTTGTTTTGTGTTGATAGATTAGATAACTTGGTTTACTTTCACGTTGAGGTCTTTAATTTAAAATGATTATTTGGTAGTTTCATTACTTAAACTGACTACATATAAACATTCACTAAATGCTAAATATTCAGTTTTCAAATAAAAACAAAGGTATATTTTATTGTGATCATTTATTTTTAGTTAATCCAAACTTGCAACAATAAATCTTGAAACTTTCACAAAAGATAAACAACCTCACAAAGTAAGTTTCTTATTTCTTATCTGTTTAGTCACACTTTTGAGTTTCCAAATAAATAAATAGAGTACATAACCAATTAACGTGTATTAAGTAATATTTGATAATAATTTAATAATAATTTTTTTCCATTTTTAGGTCGAATTCCTTATCCTGGGACCGAAATGTTCTGAATGTTGATTGTATTTAAAAAGCTAAAACGAAGCTTGATAATCTTCGTACCATTTACTGAAAAATTTATAATAATGAAAAAATGTTTTAAATTAAATTGTTTTAATATATATTTTTGAATATAAAATATAAATATTTTTTTTTTCAAGTTTATTTTTTTATTTTATATCAAGAAATTTTTTTTGTTGTTTCTCAAATAAATTTCTATATTTTTTATCTATGGAATTATTGTTTTGAATGGATAAATTGGCTATTTTTGCTTTGTGTTTTATATTTCCGTTATCTTTTTATGTGTGAATGGAAACCATTTATACTTTTATCACGTTTTGTACGATCAAGACGGTTTCCATTTGCATTAAGTATCGATCGCACAAACAACAGGTTTAAAAATTTATTTGTCTAATTCCGCAGTAAAAACAGTTATATTGTATGAATTTGTTGAGAGTTTTTTAACGGAAAGGCTTATATAAAAAATATCAAACAAACAAAAATATCAAATAAAGCAAACTTATTCGAAATAACTTGGTTTCTTCGGCCCGTTTTTTAATGTCCAAATTTGCTTTTTAAATAAATCCTTATGAGAGAGTTATAATATTATTATCAAAGCCTAAGTTTCCAAAAACACCTGAAGAAATGTTACGCAACTGTCTTATATGCTAAAGATACTTTTATTTATGTAGAAAATATTAAAGTAATAAGTAAAAATACTAATTAGTTCTAAAGTATAGTAAATAAAAAATTAACCCGAAGGCAAGAACTTTAGGTAGTTAGTAAAATGCAAATTTTTAGCAAACCAAAACAGTAATGATATTCAAAACAATTGCTCATCAATTTTTTTGAATGGTATCTGATATATTTTTCGTAAATTAGACTTTTCTTTTAAATTAATTTAACAAACAATAGATTTATAGTTCGCAACATAAGTCGCATTTTACCAATTACATGAACTTTAAATTGATTGATTTTTTGCCGTTTACTAAAATAAATTAAAGTATAAAGAGGGACTAAGGAAGCGTCCATAAATTACGTAAAGCGAAAATAAACTTATATCTATGAAACTTATGTCTATAAGTTTATTTTCTTTTAAGTCCCGCGAAAACTTTTAAGCCCCGCGAAAGAGCGAAATGATCTCCTACTTATATTTTTTTAAAAAGGTTTTTTGTTGCGTAATTTATGGATGGTCCCTAAGAAACAAGTTTAGAAATAGTCGGGTGCGGATTAGACTTGCGACGACCCGTATCGTACGGGTCATATCAGCTAATTGAAGCTATTATTAACTTCAACTGTTCCCTTTTTCCCCGGCATCACGAAAAAAGTAGTTTAGTTAAAAGTTGCACGATTTTTCAATAACGCCTGAGATTGCTCTGGTGGTCGGCTGCGGTGATGTAAGAAAACAGCAGTTTCGATTGACGCGAAAGATACAGACTGTGACAAGAGAAGGTCACCGAAGATGATAACACTCCTCGATAAAAGAAGCGAA